TCACTAGATTCTCTGCACAAACCAAAGGTAGACTGGTAGAGAATGCCTTTAGGCATTAAGTCCGCCGTTTTGTACATTTCTTGTATGTGTGCAAATAAAGCTTAAATAAATAAATAAATAAATAAACCATTGCAGTCATCGCCGGACAGTGATCAGCCATCAGCGTCGCTCCGCAGCCAGACCAATGCAGCAAGTGTCTTCCTATAAATTCCCGTCTATACAACCCTAAATCCCTATTTTATCCTTATTTCTACTTGTGTGTTTATTTGCAATACATTACGTTATATTTTGAATACTTATATACTAAATTCAACAATATAATTGTCATATTTTATACAACTCTAACAATTATCAATATTTTTTTCCAAAGTGGGTACTTTCATATCATTACATTTCTTTGTTCATTACGAACAATTTTATCGTTTTGTTCCGTACATATTATCTTCCCTTCATACATATTATTTCTAGACTTTTCACCACGATTTGCCGAACATTCCAGGGTACGAGCTGTGATCGTACATTACCGTTGCAGCGCAACAATTGCAAAAATTGCTACGCCTGCCTACCAGGTGACGCCAAGAGTGATTGCGTGAGCTAAAATTTATGTTTTTATTTTTTATTGTCCTTCATCATGACATTATTTACTTATTTCTTTACAAATTTAATTAAACTGATTTTAAGATATTGAAATTAAATTAAAATTTTTAGTTTAAATTTAATTTTTTTTTAATATTTTATTTGCAATTTTAACTTCAAAATATGAACAAAAATAAAGATTTGGCTACTGAAACAAGTGCTAAAGACATGCAAAATTTGCAAGATTTGCTAGTAAAACGTAGTGCTATAAGGGGACAAATTACGAAATTTAAAAATTATTTGGCTAATTTATCATCAAGAGAAAAATTAACCGCAATCGAATTATCGGAATTAACGTTAAAACTTAACAGATTTGAATCGTTATCAAATAAATTTGATGACTTGCAAAATCAGATAGACGTGCTAAATTCGATTAACTTAGATAGCGAAATTGATGAACGGGACAATATTGAACAATTGTTTTTTTTTGAACATTGCTATTGCTCAAAATATTATAAAGAAGTGCCAATCGAAAATTTCTACTAAGGACTACAATAACGAACCTAATTTTGGTAGCTGTTCTTCAGCTGGTTGTAATGAACGTCGCGAGGTTAATTTTAAATTGCCACAAATACAAATCACGAAATTTGACGGAGCGTACTTTCGGTGGCTCGAATTCCGTGACACATTTTTATCACTTATTCATAATAACGAGCGTATCCCACCTATACACAAATTCCATTACCTAATTTCTTATTTAGAGGGCGATTCATCTCGTATCATTTCGAATTTGGAAGTATCAAGTGCTAATTACATAACTGCTTGGAATTTATTGTGTGAAAGCTATAACAACAAACGGCAACCTATCAATCACCATTTAAATTCTTTATTAAGTCTTCAAAGATTATCACGAGAATCAGTTATGTCACTTCGATTTATGGTTGATCACGTCACAAAAAAATTGCGCGCGTTAGCCAGTTTAGGGCAGCCTACTAATAAGTGGGATGTTCTGATCGTGCATATTATGAGTTGGCGACTTGACAGCCGAACTCAAGCTAAATGGGAAGAGTGGCGTGGCATGCTCGATGATATTCCTAATTTTCAACAATTTCATAAATTTTTAATCGATTGCGCGTATGTATTAGAGTCACTGCAAACTTCATCTAGTACAGTTTATAAAAAATCAGGTCCATTGGGATCAATTAATAAACATGATCAACCACAAACAAAATATTTTGTTTGCACTAGTGAAAATAATAATACGAATCCTTTCTCTTGTGTGGTTTGTCGCGGTGATCATAGAATTTATGATTGCGCTAAGTTTAAAGCTAAGAATGTACATGATCGCATATCAGAAGTTAACAAATTAAGGTTATGTTTAAATTGCCTACGCTATGGCCACAGTGTGCGTGATTGTAAATTAGGTCCATGCCGCGAGTGCAAGAAAAGACATATCACTCTTGCATATACCACTTCCAAGTGAATAAGAATGTTACTACATCCTGTGCTACCATATCGGAAGAAACCGTAGCCAACTTTTTCAACAAAACTCGACATACGTTTTACTGTCTACCGCAATAATCGAAATATCAAATCCAAATACAAATAAATATATACGAGTGAGAGCACTATTGGACTGCGGTAGTCAGTCATCTTTCATAACTCAATTTCTCAAAGAAAAACTACCGTTACAATCATATAGCAACAATGTCATCAATATTGTGGGCATTGGAAATAACCATACCAATAAAGCCATTGAAAGTTGTGTAGCGCAACTTCATTCATTAACTGAATCTTTCAAGGTCAATCATTCCTTTCTTGTGTTACCGGAGCTTACAGGCAATATTCCTAAGTTCCTTGTTGATATACAACAATTAAACATACCCAATAATATAAAACTTGCTGATCCTACGTTTAACCATTCTGCTCCTATTGATATACTCATTGGCGCCGAACTGTTCTGGGACATTCTAGGTTGCAAGTAAATCACGCTCGGCCCTAACAATCCTAAACTTAGAAGTTCCAAATTCGGATGATTAATTTCAGGTCAATTTTATCTTTTAGCTACATTATCAAATTCTAGTTTTGATTACAATAATATCAAGACGCAAATGTCCAAATTCTGGTGACTAGAAGAAGTTCCAAAAAAACGTCATTTAAACCTCAAGAAGAAGGCATGTGAAGGTCATTTTATTAATCACACCTTTCGCCTTGAGTCAGGTCGATTCTCTGTCAGTTTGCCCTTAAAAGATTCACCACACTGTGTGTGGGTGAATCTTATACTCTCGCCAAAAAATGCTTACTTACTTTAGAAAAACGATTTAGAAAACAGCCAGACGTCAAATTACAATACATAAAATTTATAGAGAAAGAATTAGGACATGTTACCGAATCAACAATTTCTAAACCAGATCCTTCATATTTTCTATGTCATCATGCTGTTTTTAAAAATAGCAGTGAGTCAACAAAGATCAGAGTAGTCTTTGATGGATCGGCTCCTACATCATCTGGTCATTCCATTAATGACATTCTTATGGTAGGCCCAAATTTACAAGACAGTATGTTTTCCATTCTTATCAGAGCACGTCAACACAAATATCTCTTAACCGGCGACGTAGAAAAAATGTATCGGCAGGTTCTTATACATGAGCAGGATAGAAATATGCAACTGATATTATGGAGGGAAGATGAGTCTTTTTCTATAAAAACTCTCACTCTAAACAGGGTTACATGTGGCATGGCAAGTTCTAGCTACTTAAGCACACGATGTCTTTGGCAACTAGGTTAAGAATGCTCCGATGAAAGCATAAAAACTATAATACAACATGATTTTCTAGTTGATGATTAAATTACCGGTAGTGATGACGAACAGACTTTAATTTATATTCAACAAGCAGTTACATCAGCACTCAAACGTGGCTGTTTCAATTTAAGAAAATTCAAAACTAACTTACCTTCAATTTTTTCATCAATTTCCACAAACGATGATAATTTAACACTGAGTGAATCAACTAACACTTTAGGGATAGGATGGGAGCCTACTACTGATGAATTATTTTTTCCTATCCAAAGCTCTCTACCGTCTCATGACAACAATATTACTAAACGGGTTATATCGTTATCATTGTTCAAAATGTTTGATCCTTTGGGATTATTAAGCCCATTCATTATACAAAGCAAGATACTCTTGCAACAGTTATGGCGGGAGAAGCTAGGCTGGGACGAACCGGGGCCAACTGACATTAGGAGTGCTTGGACTAAATTCATTCATGCTTTACCTGCGCTCTTAAGACTAAAAATTCCAAGGCGCACTTTATGCGATGAACCTATCTCAGTAGGACTTCATTCTTTTAGTGACGCCTCCCAACATGCATACGGAGCTTGCATTTACCTCCGGTCTGTAAATTCGAAAAATGAGATCACTGTCAGACTCCTTTGCTCTAAATCTAAGGTAGCTCTAATCAAGCCCATTACAATCCCCAGGCTAGAGCTCTGTGCTGCTTTATTAGCCGCCAAGCTATGTGAGGCTGTTAAGACTTCTTTGCGATTTCAGATTCAACGTGAGACTCACTGGTGTGAATCTAGTGTGGTGTTGGGCTGGCTTAATAGTAGCTGTCAAAATCTTAAAACATATGTTGCAAATAGAGTTACCGAAATTAGTGAACATACAGACCCAGGTTCGTGGCGATATATACCGACTGATTTAAATCTAGCAGATCTCATTTCCAGAGGTGTCAGTCCTGATCAAATAGCAAGCAAAGATTTTTGGTGGTCAGGACCTAGTTTTTTATATCAGCTAGAGAATAATTGGCCTTTGTTATCAAAAACACAACAATTTAATTCAAGAGACCTGCCGAAGACCAAACATAACACAATTTCGGCCCATATAACTATTAATCAAAATTGTATAATTTTGTTTGAAAACTATTCAAAATTATTAAAATTAAAACATTCAGTTGCATACATATTACGTTTTATTCATAATTTAAAAAATCCAAATTATCATATTTCTGGTAGTTTAACCGTCGAGGAACAAAGTAATTCATTTTAGCACTTGTGTCGCTTAGCTCAACAGCAGTAATTTCCTGTAGAATATAATTTGTTGGCAAACAGAAAATCTTTTAGTACAAAATGTAATATTTTATCATTATCGCCATTTTTCGATGACAAGTTTAACGTGATTAGAGTGGGTGGCCTATTAGATGCTTCAGAATTTGCCTACGATAAAAAATATCCCGTTCTCATGCACTCATCACATCACTTAACCAAATAAATTTTTGAATATGAGCATAGACACAATTTACATGCTTGTTGTCAATAATAAGAGAATCTGTTTGGCAGTCAATGGTAGACATTTAGCACGGCACACAATACGTTAATGTTATACGTGTAGACGAATACAAGGAAAAACTATTAACCCAATAATGGGAAACTTGCCATCGCAGCGTGGTACTCCAAACTTCCCATTTAGAACTGTCTGTATAGACCTTGCAGGTCCATTTCTTACTCTAAATAGAAAGGGCCGTGGTTCGAAATTAGTAAAATCATATCTCTGTCTTTTTATTTCTCTAAGATATAAGTGCATACATTTAGAGGCCGTGTCCAATCTAACGAAGGATGCGTTTGTACTCACCTTCCGTAGGTTTGTATCCAGACGAGGAAAGCCAGCAGAAGTATTCTGCGACAACGGCCGCAACTTTGTGGCAGGAGCAAAAGAATTAAACTATTTTTTTAAGAATCACCAGGCATTCCTTTCTGATTTTGCGAGCGATGAAGGCACAAAGTTTATTTTTTCACCTTCATACGCACCTCATTTTGACGGCATCTGGGAGGCTGGAGTGAAATCGGCAAAATTTCACATTAAGCGTACAATAGGTAACTCCCATCTAAAATTCGAAGAGCTGACCACTCTTTTCGCACAAGTAGAATCAATCTTAAACAGCCCTCCTTTATGTCCTCTATCCTCTTCTCCTGATGACCTCCAAGTTTTAACTCCTGGACCCTTTCTCATTGGCCGAACTCTCACTGCGCTACCATCACCTGCTCTAGACGATCTCAATAGTAATCATCTTCAACGATATGAACGAATACAACAGATTTATCATCATTTTTGGTCACGCTGGCAACGAGAATACGTCGCCGAATTGCAACAGCGCTTCAAATGGAAGACAAATTGCACATCTTTGAACATTGGGGATATGGTCCTTCTTCAAGAAGATAACGCGCCACCACTCTGCTGGCGTTTTAGACGCGTACAAAAATTGTATCCTGGGCAAGACGGCGTGCCCCGAGTGGCCGATGTCGATACCACCAAGGGATGTGTTCGCCGCCCCGTCGTTCGTCTATGTCCTCTACCAACTGCAGAAGACTTCAAAGATTAGGAGTTTGAAAGTCATCGCCTTTTAACGGGGGGAAGATGTCTGCGCCTAACGTTTTATTGAACATTATACGTCAAGTGTCATTTTTGTTCCCCCACCTCAACACACAAATCATTCATTCGTCTTACAAGGAACATCGCTCTCACCTATTTTATATTAAATTGTGAACCTGCAAATATATTAAGTATTTAATCAGACTCCGTGTTTGCATTTATGTCCAATACGAGACAATATCAAACATAAATTTGTGGATTAATTTCAGCCAAACAGCTGCTTAAAGTTAGTTGTTCGAATGTTGGCGCATTGTTGAAGTAAAAGTTTTACGATCCTACTTAAAATGCATCTCGCGGTAAAGCCGGTTGAGTACAAGCGGAATACCGTAAGTTGAGCAGAAAATATGAATTACTTTATGTTTATTAGTCTTTCTAAGAAGCATGAATGTTAAAACATTCATATTAAAACAAACGTATATCAAAGGAATATTAAAGTTATTGAATGAAATTGAAGTTTTTTTTTTTTTTTTTTTTTTTTTTTTTTTTTTTTTTTTTTTTTATTTATTGATCCACCAACATTTGTATCATTCCTTACATGCTATTTAAATACAATGAACCAATAAGAACTAAAATGTACAAATAATTACAGGCGGATACCACATGCTAATAACTATCTCAGCACTGTAACTTTATTTCTAGGGTAAAAAAATAATAATGATATACAGTAATAAAAATACATAGAGCGAAAAGAAAAGAAAATGTTTTATAGAATATTACAAGAAATGGTCTCTTAATGTGCGACGGAGCTTGTTAGGAGGGTCGAAAAATATATCGATTGTTTCGCTAAATTTGTTAACAATTTTACTCATTCTCGCAATTGGGGAATTGGAGCCAAACACTGTTCTACGATGTGGTCTAGTCAACGGTGTAATCTTACGAGCAAAACGCGGATAGCGATAGGGAACGCACAAATTAAATTTACTTAAAATTTCGGGACAGTCAATAACACCATTAATAATTTTCGAAGCAAAAATTAAATCAATAATATCCCTGCGGTTTTCTAGAGAAATCATTTTGAAATAGACCAAGTTATTTTCATATGATACACGCTTCTTATAACTTCTAAGCCCACGCGCGTAAGACAAATGTCTTATGAATCTTTTTTGGATCCGCTCGATTCTCAGTGAATGTGTAGCATAATGAGGTCTCCAGACTACAACACAGTATTCTAATATACTTCTTACCAAACTGTTAAACAATAGAATTTTAATTTTAGAGCTTCGAAAAACTTTGATATTTCTTATTACAAAACCCATCATCCTAGATGCACGCTTAGTAATGTTTTCAATGTGAGGCACAAAAGTTAATTTTTTATCGAAAACAACCCCTAGGTCTCTAATTTGGTCTAACTGCTGTATATTATTATCTCCAATGTGATAGCTATAATCGATGGTATTACTTTTTCTCGCATATTGCACATAAAGACATTTACTAATGTTTAAGTTTAGACGCTTTGTGTTTTTCCTATCGATACAGATAGTTTAGGAATTGGTTTCAGGGTATGTTCCAAAGTGTGTCCATTTCCAGTTGTGACGTTGATCTATAATAATGTTTGGAACAATAATTATAGTTATTGCTATTAATGAAATATATGCATGTTACCCTACAATATTTTACGCCGCCGCTGAGCACGTGGTTAATAAGCACCTGAAATCGCAATAAACATTTGCCACAGGGAATCAAGCTGCTTGTCTAACTTCTTTGAAATTGAGAGGAACGATATTTTGAAAAAAAAATATATCGTTAGATCATTCCCTGCTAAATTTAAATAATATACGACGTTAAACATAATAAATAGGAGTTTTTCTTCATCTTTGCCTTATCGTATTGTAGTCGACAGACTACCATATTTTCCACTAAGAAGACAAAAAAACCTTATAAGAAATAATTACGAATTTATCGATATTTAAGTACATAATTACCTAAGTAATTTAAATTACGTATTTCACCCGAATGTGCGAGAGAATAAAAAATGTTAATTTAAAAGGACACAAACATCGTTAATCTTCACTTCAAAGAAATAACGGCATGTTAGAGCAATTTTTTTTTTCACAAAATATTAGTTAATGGTGTATCTTGACATTTTTATTAAATATTTCCTCTTTGATGAACATAACGATCCATCATACAAAGTTAGTAAAGGAAAAAAAATAATAAAAATTTGTTATTACTTGTATTTAATAATTAAGACAATATTAACTATATCATCTCTGGTCTATTTTGGGCTAAATAGGGTGACAAACGAGCACACAGTCCACCTGATGGTAAGTGATTGCTGTGGCCCACAGACATCTACATCTATCTTTGTTTGCGAATTAAAATGCAGATGCTTTGTCAGATGTGAGTACTAAGATAGAATGCTCTTTTCCAGTAGAAAGGGTCTCCGATTCTCTACAGTCACCATACTAGACACAGCAGCATTAAGCTGCTATTTTATGCTGGTATTCTGTGAGAGCGTGGTCCTTGCCTGGTCGAGCCGACCCATTCGTGCTACAATTATACTATTAATATCATAGTTAATGATAAAGCTACAGTATGGCTCTACTATATTAAACTAAAATATATTGTCTGTCTGTCTGTCTGTTTGTTCCGAAATGGCTGGACCAATTTTGATGGGACTTTCACTGGCTGAGAGCTGATGTTATAATGGGTAACTTAGGTTACTTTTACTTTGGAAAAATTCCGCGTTAAAAAATTAAAGCCATAAAATACACGTGGGCGAAGTCGTGGGTAACAGCTAGTTATAAATATATCGAATGAATAGTTGGGTCTAGACCGTGAACGCAAGCGCACGATCTCATTGATCTATGCCGCAGCAATGGATAGCATATCGAAGCGATTGAAATGTTCAAATTGTAATATTGTTATCTGTGAAGTATTGGCCTTTGTGCAAAATAAACTAGATGTGATGGATGAACAAAGCCTGATACAGATTTGTGAAAGCTCATTTAGTGCTGAAGAAATTGAATTAGCGAAGTCGTTATTATTTGAATCAGTGAGCAAGCGACCAAAAATTAGAAAACGACAGGGCAAAACCCTAAGGAATGTTGAGGATATCATCTGCTTGCTTAAAGAAACAGACCCCGAACAGGTACCAATTTTTGTAGCAAGACGATTAGAAAAACTTCCACCCGTAACGTTCGATCATGTTGATGTGACAGTGTTGCTTAAAAAGATAGTACTATTAGAGAAAACTATACATGGCATTCAACATCAGTACGTTACGAAAAACCAACTTCATGAAGAAATAAATGAGTATTTTAGATTAAATTCATTTGCGAACCGCGAACAAAATATTATATACAAAAGAGGTGATTGTGACAATTTTATGTACGATAGCGGACCGATGGCGCTCTCAACATCTTGCAATAATGCGTCATACATTGCCGAGGCTAATGAACCAGAAAAGTGTAAGTCTCTGTCTAATAAATCACACCAAGAAACTATGCATTCCCGTCACTCATCGCCAATAATTATATCAAGTGTGAATGAGAAGTCGCAACCTCCAGCGAGTGTATTACAAGTGTATTGCTAGTGAGTGTATTGCTCACGATATGCGAATGCGATAGGAGATGAGTGCAAAATGATTCATAGTGCAACGCGACCGTTTATACCTGTAGTGAATGAAACAGCTGATGGGCACGTTAGCAAGCCGTTCGACGCGTTAATTGATAAGGATAAACAAATAAATGATACATTAATAGCGAGGCGAAAGACTTTTTCTGAGGTGGTTCAAAGAGATGGAGAATGGAAGGAACCAAAAAGAAGCGAAGAATGGATTGTAGTCCAAAAACGGAGACTAAGAAACCGATTTATAAGTCAGAAAGGAACGGCGGTTGATTTAGAGGGAAAAAGTCTAAAGTTTAAGGCAGCGGACACGCAGGTGCCCCTTTTTATATCTAATGTACATAAGGATGTGGATGAACAGGACATTGTTAACTATATATATATATGAAAAAACGCGGGAAAAGGTGTCTCTTGTAAAAATTCAAATGAAGCGACAAAGAGACTACAGTGCTTATAAATTGTTTGTAGCTAAGCACAAGATTGATACATTCCTGGACGATAAGCTGTGGCCATCTGGTATATCGTTTAGACGGTTTGTAAACTTTTATGGAAGGCGAGAAAGTAAGGAAAATACTGAAATAACAGAGAACAAAGATACATAAATTTAAATATAAATACATTTATATTTATATATATATAAATACAATATTATAGCTAAGTATTTTACAGTGAGATATTATATAAATATAACTTAAGAAAGTTAATGGAAAAATACAGTAAAATAATTAGTTTTAATTGTAAATCTATCAAAAGGTCAATAGAAGGAGTGAGGACCTTATGTCAGACAGCTGATGTGGTAGCTCTCCAGGAGACGTGGTTGTTGCCACATGATCTGCCTATACTCAACACGATTGATAGCAACTTTGGGTCTACCGGTACGTCTGCAGTCGATACTGCGGCAGGCTTACTCAGCGGGAGGCCGTATGGTGGGGTGGCGCTGTTATGGCGTAAGTGTGCCTTCGAGTCAGTGAATGTGATTGAGTGTGATAACGAGAGGATCTGCGCGATAAAGCTAAACGTGAGTAATAGATCAGTAGTTATGTTCAGTGTGTATATGCCTACAAACTCATATGATAACCTTTCCGAGTTTACTGCGTGTCTGGGAGCCATTCGCTCTATAATAGAAATAGAGGAGAATAATGGAGTATCGGCTTTTTATATCTTAGGAGACTTTAATGCACACCCTAGTGAATTATTTTATAATGTAATGTTGGACTTCTGTGTGGATCTTAATTGGATTTGTGTAGATTTAAATATGTGTGCCAGTAATACATATACCTATTGTAGTGAGGCTCACGGTTGTAATAGATGGTTGGATCACTGCATTGTCACAGAGTCAGCGCGGAATACAATCGTTAACGTAACGGTAAAATATGACGTGTA